AGCTAGGAGATTTGTTTTTGAAAGTTTTGGACTATGAACATCTGTAAAACATGAAAATTTCAAAACTAGTGACCTTTCCCATAAAGCAATGAGTGCAGTGATCAAACCTTCTAAGTCCCAAGTAAGCAAGCTCAGGAAGAGCAGTAGCTATTGGTGCGTTACACAAAGCTTAGAAGGAGCGACAGTGATTAGAAACCAAACATTCAAATAACCGATGAATGCTTTGAAAGATTACTCTAGCAGCTTCCCCAAATTTTTATTAAAGAACAACACTCAACTGATATCCTTGCATGATAGAGAAAAACATCTTACAAATTCAAATCTAAGTTAATAGACTTTAGTTTCCTTGCAGTATACGAGTTAACATTGCTACCATTGAAGGTTATGTAATTTTAATATTGGTTAATAATTAATTTAAAAACTTAAGTCTTCATCTCTTTTTATAATTTTTATACTAAAACAACCAATGACTTAATATAGAGAATGAATTTATAATATAAATATTTCATCACAGTGAATTTAATTTCTGCATAAAAACCTGTTAGTGCTTCATTGTCATCTTTTCTCATAATAATCTGGACCAAGGTCATAATGTATTCTTTTGAATATGTGTATTTAAACCAACTGGGCCAAGTACATTATGTCTTATTCATAAGCAGTTTAAACTGTTCAGTAAGTAAAAGGAAAATGCTAAACTCTTTGGATGTACCTAGGAATTCAAGGTAAATTCATTCTGTTACATTCTTTTAAGAAGTATTAAATTCCAGGTAATACAGCCTTTAGTGATACTTAGAAGATCTTGACTTAAGATCTGCTCTACTGTTAAAGTTCCAGTGTGGTTGCTACCATTTCATAGCATTTTCCAGGAAAAAAAAAAAAAAAAAAAAGGGAAATGTAAATGCTTATGCTGATTTTGAAAATATTAAGCTAATTAATGTTGTTGAGTTTTATATAGATGTCAGCCTTAATATGAACAAGCCTACAGAAATGGTGCCTAGAGCAACTGGATCATTAAAAAAGAGTATCTGTTAAGCATTATTCACTCTTGATTCTGGGTTAATAAATAAAGGATTAAGGAATAGTTCCATGAGACTTTAAGTATAGAGTGATAAAACAAACTCACACATTTCTGTGGTATCTATTTTATCCTAACTAGATGCAATTTACTTAAATAAGGCAATTTAATCAGTATTTAGTAAATTTGTCATTTGATATTGTAGATTCTTTCATCATATTTCACTTTAATCAAGAAAGGTAACACCTGCGGTTTATTCACAAAAGCTGCTTTTGTTAAATGAACACCCGCAGGCCATGAAGCAATTACATTTGTTGCTTGTACCAAAGTAGGAGGCACTTAAATAGACCTTAGTAGGGATAGATGAGAACTTGCAGACTTTTTTCTTTTGTGCAGCACTGAGATTAGTTCTTATCATAGCTCAAGAAGGAAGCCTCTGAACTGAAAAGAAAAGATGGGAGTGATTTAAAGTTCTTCTTAAGTTTGAAACTTTGATACTGCTGGAGGTGATATGAATACCTGTGACCTTATGAAAGTTCAAACTTCATCTACTCCCAGCTGATTGTACATGCTGATGTTCTTTGACAAACACAGACTGCTTGGAATTCCAAAAGGAGAGATTGCGAGAAATTAATGTTTATAATTCTCCATTTATTTATTAAAAATCCCTATTTCTCCATCTTTAGTACCTCCCCCCCGCAAAGTTCCCCCAAATCACAAAGCAAAAAAACCCCGCCAAAACAAAAAAAAAAACAACTCAAACCACCAAAGCCTTTTTTTCATTTGGTTGGGTTTAGGGACATTTTTGAGGCAGATAATTTAATCTGTTAATCTTATTTGCAGTATATGAGTTTTCTAGCATGCCAGTTAATGCAGCACAGGCATCTAATCTCTTGAAGTTAGTGAGATTACTCAAAGGACAAAGTTTGGCATCGTGTAAAAAGACCAAAATAATTCTTCGTTGATCTCCCCCGCACATTTATGTAAACTAATGTTTTATGCTAGGAAGTACACATCAAATACCTGACCTGTGCTTCAGTTTTGCCACTTTAACTGTACCACTAAGTAAATGACAACAGCCGTGGAATTTGAGCTGGTTTGTTGCAGGGAAAGATGCTTATTTATCTGAGCTGAAACAGAATAAAATACTGCTACAAACTCAGTTGTTTTAAATTATAATCTTGCTCTTCTGGTCTCTCTGCTCTGTACTAGAGCCCTCAAAGCCTTGGAAGGGAGAAGGTTGTGTCTGATCAGTGCCCTGTATTCTCATGCATATCAGCTGCACCTCCGGTAACCGGTTCTGCCTGAGAACTGCTGTTCCTTGGAAATAAATCCTCAGATAATCTGCACAAAACCCGAGGCACAAGGGTTGCTGAGGCAAAGCGAGTCTGTGGGCTGTCAGAGGCAGTGTGTTTTCACATGAACCCGCACTGCTGCGCAATTGCAGGTTCTGCATGTGACCCACACGTTAGTTCTGTGAACATTCACTTGGTGGCCTTGGGAGACTTTCACACCTTAGTCCTGGCCTGTGTGCAAGGGAGAACTGAACTGCTGCCCAGCCTAAGCTAAATGCTTTTGGCCCTTGTCAGTATTTTTAGTATTCACAGTCTTTCTCTGTGTAGTAATGGTAACTGTGACTTCAGTTTTACTTCTTAGATACAATTAATTTTGGCTAAGAGGTCCATGGTTGGAGGCCAAAATGCAACGTTGTGAACTGTCAAGCAAGTGCTTTCCTATTGCCTTGGGTTTTTAGCAGTAGCAGCCTATTGGTGTGTAATTAATATATTCTTACTATAAGTTTTCAATAGTTATTTTTTTTCTTTGGTTAAATATGTATCTTATTCCCAGCTACTGTGCTTGCATGACTTTGAGGCATTTCAGATTGGGTCCTGATTCTGCAAAGGTTGATACTCAAAGTTATCTTTACTCAATGTGAAATCAGTGATGTGGTCTAGAAATAGTTTGGTGCATAAACCCTTGAAGGATTCTGGCTTTAGTCTTTATTTCAAGGGGTGTAAACAACTTTATTTTTTTTTTTAAATTAATGATTATGGCCTGTCACTGGTATTTGGTTTTACATTTTCCTGTAATTCATGTGATTTTTATTGCTTGTCTTAATTTTAGGTTGTAGTGAAATGCCTAGATGATGGACAGGCACCATACAAAGGTATTACACTGCATTATCCCTAGATGAATCAAGCATTGTGACAGTACTCATAACGACAAATTTAGAGGTATAGGGTCCTGTCATACCTTCCATGGAGAACTACAAAAGTTACCCTAAGTGGTGAATTTCAGGATATAGGAATATACTTTATTGCAAATGTTGTATCTGGAATGCAAACTTTGAACATCTTCTTTAGACAAGTAATTAGTATTAGAAGTAGTAAGTGCTATGCCACAGATGGCAAAAGCACCTTATTTTTTATACTTTTGGAGCATAGAAGAAAGATGGAAAGGACTAGAAGTGCTTGGATCTACTTGTGTTATGAGTGGGTCCTTATTTCACATAGCAACAGATGAGCTTCGGGTTCTACCTGTGAATCGGGGAAGGTGAGAAACAATATACATTTGCCACAGCTCAAAAAAGGGACTGTCGGGTAATGTGCTGTCCTCAGATCCTGGCCTGGGACCAGGCAGGTGGGAGCGTGACTAAGCAAGAGCCTATAAGGCTTTTTTTAAACACAAGGTTCCCCATAAGTGTTACCTGGCCAGATACCTGTAAGTACCAACAATACACTTCAACTGCATTTTCCTCAAATGTTTATCTGGAGGACCTGGTTTTATTTTTACTGGTTTACATCCAGACTTTACTCCTAAAGTGGTATTTTATTTTGTTTAGTCTGTACATGTAGACTATTGTATTTCTGAGTCCATGTGGCTTATTTCTAAAACGTTAATGTTTATACTGCTCCAACTCTGAGTTTCATCTGAATTGTGGGCATAGTAATGTTTCAAGTACATATTTGGTTTTGGAAAAATGTATGTTAACTTAAAGTCCACATTAAACATTATCTAGATTGAGAATATGTTGCCACTTTTAAATTTTCAGGCTGGTTTAGAATTTTAGAAACAAAAACAGATTAGAAAAGTAATTATTAAGTATTTTATTTGGTAACTTGTAAGAAGTTATTTACATCCAAAGTGTTTTGAAAAAAACATATCAAAATAGTGTATATTTCAAGCGGAAATCTTAGTTTAAGACTTACAGTAGCAACTTTTTAATATAGGAAAGATTTATACTCTTATACAGCTATGTTGCTATTTCTCATTTTGTCATTGAGTCAGTCAGTGAATGCCATTAATCTATGGCACGCAACATGGTTAATGCATAATATATATAGGCAATGAAAGGTCTTTGTCATATAGTATAAGGTCACCATCATTAATTTTCAAATTATAAAAAGGGATTTGCTGTTTTGTGATCATCATTATTGCAATATAATGTGTTGTGGATTCTGCCTGCACATAGAATGAACTGTGATCTTAATTAGAACTTTGACAAGCCTACTCCGATAAAATGATGAGATTATTCGTAATTGATGTCACAATCAATTACCAGTTAGTTCATCATGAATCTACTAACAGGTCTAGCCTTGGTGCTGGCCCCAGGATGTTGATGAGTGTGTGGCTGCCCTGTTCATGCTGTTACTGAGACAGGAGGGCAGATTTTCAGTCAACATCCTAATGACCTCTTTTGAAGTCTATTAAATTAATGACCCTGTCACATTGGTCTAACCTCTTACATCTTCATTTTGGATTTTTTGTTGCAAACCATTGGTTTTTGAGCACATGATAGAACAGATACTTTTGGAGCACTCCTCATCCCTCCAAATCTGGCACTATGTCTTTCTAGATTTGATAAAAAATTAGTTCATTATATAGTTATGAAATACAGAACACAGAAAATATATTGTAAGGCAAACTATGCTTAATATCATTCTATTCTGTTTTCTTTTTACATTTCAATCTTGCTTAATCATAGGTGCCTAAAGGACATGTCTGGTTAGAAGGTGATAATCTCAGGAATTCTACAGATTCCAGGTGCTACGGACCTGTTCCTTACGGACTGATAAGAGGACGCATTTGTTTTAAGGTATATATATCTTTATGGTATCTAAAGATAGTTGTATTAATACATTTTTAGTGCCTGGGTGTTGGGTATTAAAACTAGCCTCCTTAACTGTCTGGCCAAAGTAAATGTAAAGGAAAGCTTGAACATAACGGCCACTTGCTGTAAAAGGATAATTCAACAATGGTGGGGTTTTTTTGAGGGAGGACTTGTTTTTTGAGCAGTCACTGCCTCTGAAAACTGAATGAATTATTCTACAAGCAAATCCAAACCTGATAACAACACAAACATACACACACACCCCTACCCCCACTACTGTACGGATATACATTCCATCCTTGATTTGATTCTTGCCTCTGCAAAATGGTAGAAAAGGGCAGCTCCATATTGCACTGTTGTGCTGTAATATAAGGGTAGTTCCATAGTTCAAAAAACAAGATGGAGGAAAAGGTTATCTTTGTAGGACTTGTATATGTACTTTAGTCATGTAGGTTGGCCTTGCTGCTTTTTAAACCAAGTCTGTGAAAAAGCCTTAACAGTAAAGCCACTGCTCCACTGTAATTGTCTAACACTTTTTTATTACAAAAAAAAGCTTTGAATTAATATTGTATTGTATAAACCTCCATGGTTCCTTCTCCTTCTGTTTCAACAATTCTGCAGCTTTATTTCACGCTAAATTACTTCTTCATATTATCCACTTTATTAATTTACTCATTTACCAAAAAGAAGAAACTAACACAATTTCCTCTCCATATAAAGTTTAATCTGAGAAGCAGGGGAGTACGTATTAGAGTTATGCACCAGCTTTTAGAAAGCTAGATTTAAAATGGTGCCATTCAGAACAATAAAAAAAGGTTTTGAAAACTGTTCTCCATATACTGCATCACATCCAGAAAAACATAATTTAGCACAGCTGCATTACATACACAGGGAAGATTAGGTCTTTCCAATTTAAGAAAGTTTTATACATGTAACTTACAGTTTTTATGAACACAACTTAGGACTTTTCTAAAAACCTTGCAGCTATTGACCATAGTCTCTAATTGCTTCCTAAACCTCAAATAACATGTCCCCCTCAGCCCCACCACCAAGTTCTGTCTGACCTCTGTTCTTTCTGGATAGCATTTGCTTTGAGTTCTTCCCTCGTGTTTATTGAGTGCCCTCTGTTCCTTCTCTGTATTGTTTGCCTTACCATATACACCAGAGGAAAAAATGCTGTTGCTAAATGGGGCTGTTTTTATGACCCCAGTTTTAGCTTGGATTAACTGCTTAAATATAAATGATGCTAATATGCTGACAGCCCTCTTAATAAGAATGTGGTATTAATACTGTATCTGAAAAAAAATTCTCCAAGTGATATACTAGTATAGAAAACTTGCTGTTTAGTACTTTAAGGGGACTGTTAGCAAATAATTACGTATTATGAACCTATGTACAGCCATAAGTATTCACAGCATCTTTCCACAGCAATACATTTGTGTCCAGCTTGTACCTCAACAAGGAGGATGTTTGAGAGACTTTAATGAAAACCTGACAGGACTGAACCCCAAATTTAGCACACAGTAAATGCTGTAAAATGAATGGAACTTACACACAGATCTTACATACTGAAGAAGTACTTTAGGACTCCAGAATATTGTCTGTTTAAAAAGATAGTAGGCAATCATTTGATACTTAATCAAAATAATTATGTAACCCAATTTTATAGCAGTTGTTTTATGATGGTGCATAGCGTAGTGGTTATTAACATTTTAATGAGATTTAAGTATATGGTGTCTAACAAAAGCAAAAATGTGTTTATTCTTCAAGTGAGTGTTTATAGTTTGGGTTGTTTATGGTAATTCACATTAGAATACCGTGATCGTGCTATTTATTGTCTGTTGCTGTTGAACATTACAGTGAAAGGCAGCAGAATACAGCTAGTCCACATGGTGGTAGCTAATTAGTAGACTACTGGCTAAGAAACTATGTGTGCTGTTTAATGTAGTCTGCTAGAGGTTTGGTTTCTCTTTCATGAAAAATCTTTTACTGCCTTGAGAGTGGAAGCTTATGTGGCTTTATCTTAAAGTGGATTTTGGAGAAGCTGATGTAACAGTGCCTTTGAATGCTAAGTTACATTTTTAGTAATGGATGAAAAGACACAAATTTAATTTGGAAGTAATGGATTTCAACAGAAGAGAGTGAGCTTGTACCAAGTTTGTTTAGGTAACCTATTCTTGGCAAAACATAAATGTTAATTCTCTCTAGCCTATCTGTGAAGTTTAGACCTAAGGTTCTCAGCCAATGTTGGTGCACTAGTTTTTAACCCATACAGAAATAATGATACTGAATTATATCTGCCTGTTTCCCTCCCTGCCACCACATCAACAGCCATGCTGAGAGACTAGTTCATTCCATAAAAAGGCCACTGAAATCAAGGTAGCTGCAAATTCAGTAAAAGCCTAAGGAGTCCCGCTTTGACAGAACTCATGCTTCATCCTGTGCTAGGTAGGATATCCCGTGCATTCCCTGGACTTCCATGTCAAGCATAGACCTGCAGTGTATCTTCAAAAGAGCTAGTTAGCCCCATTTATCCCCCATCCATCAGATCAAATCTATGTAGGCCAAACCAAAGAGGGGAAGGGGAAATAGCTGCTAATTGGACTAGCCAGTGTGAACGAACAAGTCACAGTCAACTTCTGTCATAACTTTAAAAGACTTGGGAACTGCTACACACAGTAGCAAGCCTTTGTTCCACAGAGAAGGCTTGTTCCATCGCCTTTCCAGCCATGAGTACTGTTCCTCACACCCTCTCCTGCATGCAGACCAGATAAAACATCATTTTCATTCTAACTCTACCACTAAAACTACCATAATGGATTTGAAACTGAATTGTCAAAACAGTGTTTAAAACTGATTCGATCACTTTCACAGCAAGAAAGTCAAGTTGCAATAGGTGTGATTTGAGTCGCCTGAAATGAGATTTTTGCTGTACTGAATGGTGTAAGAAACCTCTCTGGGCCCTTACTCAGATCAGCTTAGATTTGTAATATGGGATATTCCTATTCCTTTTACTCCTGTTTGCTTAGCATAGGCCCTCTGGAGAGCCTCGGATTCCATAGCTTTGCTTCTAACCAAGATCACAAATAGGCTTCTGTTGTTCGTTCATATCTCTGTATATCTGTGTGGAGCTCACTGTCTGCTATACACAGAGACAAGACGTTACCTCTGTATATTTCTGTACATCAGCAGATGTTCATCATGCTCTTCCCTAACTGCACATGCCAAAAAAGGTATGTATTTTCTAGGGTACTTGCACAAGAGAGCTTTGAGCCTTTTTCAGACCCACAGAGCTTCAGGTCCCGAGAATGACTCATCCTTCTGTCCTCTCAAGGGCCTGGGCACAATCCAACTGATGGCAACTTAGCGCAGTGCTGCAAGGGGCTGACAGAGGCAAGTCTAGAGAGCTTCTAGCAGTGCATGGGCTCAGTCTAGTAGTGAGTTGATCCATCCTTAACTGCCTCTGCCTGAGAGTTCTATCATTGTCTTTAGTGCTGGGGACAAGTCATGGGGTTTGACATATTGAACCTTGGCACTGTGCCTCCTCTTTTAAATTCAGAAGATTACTCCTGCACTGTGGCTGTTCCATGAACTCAGTTAAGAGTAGGTTGCTATTCCTGGAAGGTGACTGCATACCTTCCTTACGATCAAATTCTAAGGAAAAATGAGCCAGATAAATATCATAGTGACAGATGCTTTGGGAACAAGGCAATGTATCATCTTTCTCTGTCTAGGTCACTTCATCTTGAGCAGAGGCTGTGAGATTTTTTATGGGATTAGAGCCACAGAGGGCATTCATGCTTCAGTCTGCTGATCCCCTTGTGCCATCTTTGAAAGAATGTGTTGTGAAGAGACACAGGCAGTCAAGGGAGACAAAGGACAAAGTGTAAAAGAATGTCCTTGATTCCCCATTACTTCTTTTTGCCCCCAAGACCAGCCTACATGTAATTAGGGAGTGTTCAGAGGAAAGTAGTCCTGGGAACATTCAGCAGTGTGAACAGCTATATAGTTAATTTCTGGCGAGAAAGTGAGCGTCATTCTCTGACCCTTGCGCTTGGACTTGGTCATGATGTGTGCTTCTCCATTTTCCATATAGCAGTCCTCTTCCCAGAGGAGCCCCTTGGTTGAGAGCCCATGATGGTGGCAGGCACTCCACCCCTTTATATGGATTTGCATGGTATAAGCTTACCTATAAGAGTATGGAATTTTTTTCCAAGGTTTGGTGTTTGCAGTTCAAATGCCCGTCTTGAAAATACAGATGTACACCTGACAGCATTACTTTCACTGGGAGGTAATGTTCGTGGTATTTTTTCTCCTAGATGGATCAAAAATATATACTTTGTCTTTTAAGTTGTTAAGGGGTTTACAAGCTAGAAAACCTTGAATTTGAAAGATATTTCCTAGGAATGTATTTATTTCCAAGGCTGAAAAAAAAATGTAATTTGTGAGCAAAACATGTTATGTATAAATCAGTGTTGTCTCCAGCCACCATGGAATGATTCCTCTTGATATATATTATTTATTACTCCTAGTAAAAGAAACAGGTGAAAAAAGATCCTTTTATCCTGTCACACAAAGAGCTAAAAAATTATGCAGTTTATTAAATGCTTACAATAATAACAAAAATACTAAGCTTTGAGTTGTGATTAAAATCTCTTGTAACTGTGTTTTATTTTACAGATATGGCCTCTGAATGACTTTGGATTTCTACGTGCAAGCCCCAATGGTCATAGATTTCTTGATGATTAAAAGATTTAAGTGACTATTGCCAGCTTTCATAATATTTTCTACCAAAATCAATGGAACTATTTTTGTTTAGAATAAACACAAGTATTACTTGACAAAGATGTCTCCTTCTGAGATTACATCTAACTTGAAAGTGGGAATGATATACTGCTGTCATCAACAAAAATGATATGCCTCTTTGTCTCCTCTGGCTATTCACAGTAAGTGCTTGGATTACAAGCCAAGGTTAGCACTGACTGTTAACAAGGGATGAAGAAAGCACAGTGCACCATTGTGTTGTCACACACTCAGAGCCACACCTAGGCTATGCCTGCTTTAGCAAGTAGTCTGGCAGCTAGTCTGCATAGCCACTGGACCTGCTGCTCAGTACCGAGAAGCATCCTGATAGATCTGCGAGTTTCTGCCACCTCGTTCCAAGGCTGAAGTCCTTGTGAGGTTTTAATGAAGTTAAATATTTAGCATAGAAATAGAAAATGTTCCCGTTTCCCATTAATGCACCTTACTCTTCATTATCTTCAAAGCATTCTCACATGTGTGCCTCCTGATTAAATTTTGTAATCTGAGCTGGTAACAGGATTTAACCTAAGAGGTAGGGCCCAAGGTATAGTTGATACAGACTGAGATTGAAATAAGCTACTCTGTTGTTTGCTGGGAAAGAAATGTCATTTAGATCATGAGATATATTCCAGTTGTGCCAAACTTAGTGTTCTGTTCTGGAGGTTTTTAATAACCAGCTCTTTAGCTGCAGAAGGAAGAAAGCCTGATGTCTGCAGAGCTATGCTGGCAAATGGGCACACTGCCTTTCTCAAGCCTGACTGAACTCGTTCTTGTAGTGCCCTCCTTTTCTTTACCATACATTTCTTTAGCAGATGCTGGCCCATTTGTCCAGTCTTTTTAAAACTTTGTAACTCTTAATGTGCTTGATTGAAACAATCATTGAAGGATCTCGATAACAAGTGAACACGTGTCACAACAAACCAAAGATACGTCTTTGGTTTCACTCTTGAAGACAGTGTAGTTCCCACCACATCGACATGAGAGAGTGTAACATTGTTCATCTGTCAAAAAAGAAAACAAAAAAGCTTTTAGTGCTTGAGAAGAATCAAGAATTTATTTTGGATTTTCTTCACAAAAGTGCTCTTAATAACAAATGTCCTCCCACTGCTGGATTGTAAATACCAGTACCTGTGCTACCATTTATTGCTCAAAAAATAACGATACTCTTAAAAGGTTTTGGTGACTGTGAGGCATTCTTACACCAAACAGCCAGGGTCAGTGTAGTCTCTTTCAAAAATAAAATAATAAAAAGGTGCACATCAGTGAAACAGACAGGTATTAAAAGAAAAAAACTAAGGGGTGTTAGTCATAATATGACAGATCAAGGATGGCTCCAAAACAGACTGCTAACACAGGAAACAAAAATAAAACAGCAGAAAGGAAAGTAGATAGGATTTTCCCCTTGTAGCTTAAAAAAAAAAAAAATCAGCCATTCATTCAAAAAAACAAACAATAAAAGCTAGAGTAATATAAAAGAGGGAAGTAACACACTGTCAGATGAGAAAAAATCTGTACGAAAACACTTGCATTTTACCTTCACAGAAAGAGCAAGAAGATGCCTGAGAGATTTGGGAAGAATCTGGAAATTTAAATACTGAATTCTACTACAAGAAGAGAGCTAGGTGAAAAGTGGTACTGCAAGTGGGGATGGGGAGGGGAGAAGAGATGAAGGAATGCAAATAAGCATCACAGAAAGTTAAGTTCCATTCAGATAATCACAGAGAACAGAATAGCTAAATCTGAGGAAAATATTAAAAAAGTAGAATTTACAATACAACAACATAGTGGTATAAGATGCAGAAAAAATAGAAAACATTTGCAGTGACAATGAAAGGCCCTGGGAACAAGTAGTAAGGCACTCATACCTTCATTCCAGGACATATCCTCAAGATAAATTTGTGCATGGAGTGGCCATTCTTTTGTCAGGTTATCTTCTGTAAATAAAACATGACAGATGTTCAGCCCTGATAACATACAGGTCCTTACTTCTTCCTGATAAATTAAGAGTTTTCTATACCTAGCAGTCCATCGGGTCCCTACTAGAGAGTCATACCTAGACCACGTTATTGGTTAAAAATGCAGTTCTTTAAAATTTTAGTTTATGTAGCTCTGCATAAGCTGGAAAATGTCCTCCTGGAGCCAGGAGAAGTAAATAATGAAGATGTATTACTGAAATGAAGACACTGCTAAAACCAGTACTTTGGCACATCCCAAACAATGACACAAAATTAGAAGCAAACTTTTTTTTTTTTATATGAATAACCTTTTAAAAGCCTGGCTGTAACTACCCTTCCACAAGCTGAAACGGTGAATGTCTGCTTAAATCCCAGAATGGGTGAGGTCAAAGGGACATCTCAAGATCACCAACCCAAACCTCCTGCACTAGCAGGTCAGCTAAAGCAGGTTGCCAGGACCGTGTCCGGGCAGATCTTAAATATCTCCACAGATGGAGCCCTCACAGTCTCTCTTAGGCAACCCATTCTCCTTTAGGAAGGAGAAGCCACATAAACCCCCCAACAAACACCAAGTAAATGTTGGGGCTGTGTGAGAGAACACCAAGATTCCTACAAAAAGATATTCCTAACAAAAGGTAAATGAAGAACACTTTTAGGGGACACTAGCCAAGCGTTCATGAGTCTCAGCACAGAAAGGTCGGTTCTGGCCTGCACCGGTGAGATCTGTTGCCATTTGATCCCCTGGATTCTTCCACCACCGAGTACAGCATGAAATGAAGAGTGTACGATACAACTGGAATTACCAAATGCACACTGTGTAAAACAAATACAAATTGTTTTTTGCAATTTATCAACACACTCATACTTGATGTGCAAAGTTCACACTTAACTTGACAATGTAAGATTTTGTCAACAAAGTTACAAGTGAAGCCATAAAAGATAATTAAAAAAAAAAAAAGGACATAAACCCCTTACAACTTACTGCACAAAGCCTCCCAGCTGCTGCCTGACACCTGGAAGCTCCATCTCCCCAAATGCTGTATTTTAAAGAACGAGAAACACCTGAAAGCTGATCTTTAGCACATGCACAGAAATGCCTCAGATTTGGCAAGACTCAGGAGCTTAGTGCTTATTTAAGGTTTAAATCAGGTCTTTATTGAGAAAGTTTTACAAAATAACAACATTTTTCTTAACACCTGATCAGAACATTAGTTAACTGCATGTAAAGTCCAAAATAAACGGTCAGATGGTCTAAACTCATACCAAATAACTCTGACGTTACTTGGTGTTAGTCTGGTACAGCCTTCTGGCTACAAAACAGGAGAACAGGAATGGTGAATGTCCCGAAAACACCCACACCGCCAGTCAGAGGCCTCTCCTCCAGCTGGCCTTGTGTGAAGTAAAGATTCCTCCTCCGCTTTTTTGAGGAAGAAAAAAAAGCAGAGATCAAAATGAATTCAGTCGGTCTGTCTACCTACCTACCTACCTTCAGGTTCTTCTCTCCACTGTGGTGGAAGATGACAATACTGCTAACGGTGAGAACAGCGTGAGTCCTATTTCACCTGGTTTTAATACTTGGAAGAAAAATTCACAAAGGAAAGTGGTCTCTTTGGTTGCACAAAGAACAGATTTCCCTAAGCTTAGCAAAAAAACTGAGTTAGAAAGAAACCAGGCTTTCCTATGTGTAACTCATGAAGCAGGATTTCACTCAGAACAAGCTTTATGGGATTGGAGGTGGAGCTCTGGGTCGTGTCTTGCTGGTAGGAAATACAAAAAGGGCACACGGACGATACGACACCACAAAGAGAACTGGGGAGACACAAATTCGTGGAGGTTACCGTACTTCCTGAAGTGAAATTACTCATGAAGTAATGAAGAAAGGTGGCTAAGGAGAAGTCTACCCTCTCTTCTGTTCCAGACGTAGGAAGCCCAGGAAACAGAATTTCAACCAAGCTTTTCTAAATCATGACTGCAATTGTAATTTTAAAAATAATAATAAAAAAAAATCAACAGGCAAATTTAATCACTCATACAATTCCCAGCCTGAACGGAGATTGTTATTCCCAGTCTGATGCTCAAGTCAGCAAGAGTCTTACTGGTTATCTTAGAAGCCGTACATTTTCAGTTAGTCCTCTCGATCTGAGTGAGTCTCCAAGCTTAGCACACAATCGAGGAAC